TCGCAACCCAAGGGCGAAAAAGGATGGTACCTTGGTCCTGCCCACAATCACCCCCGTGACTGCGTTCGCATGCTAACCGAAGCTGGAACCGTAATCACTACCCGCAATTTCACCTGGCGCCACATGCCCGCTGCATCGCCCGCACCCCCGCAGCTGCTACCTCTCGCAGATGACGAGGAGGGCGGGGAGGGCGAGAGCAGAGCGGATGCATCACGCCAAGGTTGGGCGGAGGAGCGAGACTCATAGAGTGAGTCCGACCTCGACGTGATGGAGGCTCGTGGGCCAGGGCAAGCGACGCCGTTTGTGCGCGAGGAGGCGCCGACGGCACGCGGCAACGGNAGAGCAGAGCGGATGCATCACGCCAAGGTTGGGGAGGGGAAAGAGACTCAGAGAGTGAGTCCGACCTCGACGTGATGGAGGCTCGTGGGCCAGGGCGAGCGACGCCGTTTGTGCGCGAGGAGGCGCCGACGGCACCCGGCAACGGGATTCCCGGGGACGGAGGCAGCGTTCCCCCGTCGCACCCTTCGGGAAGGAGCGACTTCAGCGGAGGCAGTGACAGCCCCACCGACACCAGCAGCACCAGCAGCAGCCCGAGCAGCAGCAGCAGTGACGCCGGCGGGGACGGCGGCCCGGGCGGCGAAGTGCCCGGCGACCCAGGTGGGGACGGCGGTAGCGATGGCGATCCCGGCGACTCCNTGAAGCGTACCGATGATGTACAAGGATGTGATGTGTTCCAAGTACAAGGTTTTCTGGGAGGCGGTCAGGAAGAAAGAGATAGATGGCCACGACAAGACTAGAACCTTTACCAAGGTCAAGGAGCTGCCCGAGGGGCGGAAGGCCATAGGTTCAAAGTGGGTGTTTTCTTGGAAGACGAATGAGAAGGGCCTGATAGTCGACTTCAAGGCCCGTATGGTTGCGAGGGGTTTCTCTCAAATCCCCGGCATCGACTTCCACCACTCATCCTCAGCGTGCCCGTCTGCAGCGTCTATCAAGACGGTGATTGCCGTAGCCACTGAAAAGGGCAAGAAACTCGCTCACTGGGATGTGAAGCAAGCGTATATCCACGTTAAGCTAAAAGAAGAAAACCTCAGGTTCCCGGAAGGCTGTGGTAGCATGTCCGGCAAGGTGGTCAAGGTTGAGCGTGCCCTGTATGGCCTAAAGCAGAGTGGCCGTGAGTGGGGGTTTGAAGCTGCCGATGCCCTCATCGAGAATGGATACGAGCAGTGCAGGGTTGACCCGTGTGTCTTCCGGAAGGTGGTGGATGGAGAGGTCGTAGGTCTCATCGTGATCTACGTTGATGACATCTTAGTGGCGGCAGACGAGGGAGAGCGAGAGGAGTTGTTCGCTTCCCTCAACATGAAGTTTCCGGTGAAAGATCTGGGGGAGTGTACCTGGTACGACGGGTGTGCTATCGCCATGGATGTAGAAAATGGCATCACCAAGCTGTCCCAGACAGCATACATTGAGATTATGCTGAAGCGGTTTGATGTGACCACGACCGCTTTCACACCTGCTGCCACCGATGCCGACCTAGGGCCGAAGAGAGATGACGAGCCCGTGGTGGATAAGCTTGTGAGGGAGGCGATCGGATGCCTGATGTGGACGAAGCTGACGAGACCAGACATCGCCCTGCCTCTGAACAAGCTCCAGAAGATCGCCCACTCACCCACCGGGAGGATATGGAACGCGCTTGTGCGGATCATGTCCTACCTGAACTTCACGAAGGNGTGGCGTTCTGTCGTTCATAGCGCCCGAGACGAGTGGGGCGAAGATCAAGGTCCTTGAGGACAATAAGGAGGCTCTCGCCTTGATCGAGAACCCGTTCACCTCAGCGAGGAGCAAGCACATCGACGTGCGGTTCCATTTGATTCGCGAGCTATTCAAGTCGGGCAAGATCACTGCAGAGTATGATCCGACTGGAGAGCAGCACGCCGACATGCTGACCAAGGTCCTCGGCAGGGAGAAGTCAGAGTACAATCGGAAGGCTCTGATGAACCTACCGATGCAGTGTTCTCTTGTTGTGTTTGGTTTATGTGGTGGTTTTAGCACTTGGCATAATATATGACCATGGTACGTCACGCAGGAAGCGTTGTGCCGGCGCGTCACCCGCGGCTGGAGCCTAGAAACGTCGAGAGCGTTGCTTCGGTTGTGTAATCAGCGTGACCGGTTCAATCTGTCCTGCCTTGGTCTTGTCTTGGAAGCGCGGCCGGAGTCCTCCGTGATAGTGACGGTTTTCTATATTAAGGGTGTTAGCCGAGGGTTTTTGATCCGGTTGGCCGGGTTTTCCCTTCGAGCCTGCTGTTGTTTTGAGTCCCTTTGGTTGATCAGGGGTATCCATGCCCCACGTTAGGTTTGCCATTCGCGTGCAAACCGGGGAGGGTGTTCGTGTGTTCGGATACGGACCGGTTCGACCAACCGGCAACAACAGAGGGCACGCAGATGGGGCATATGTACACCTTGAAATGGTTGCATGTGCGGGGACCCCTCGAAGAGAGGGCTTCACTTCTCCCTACTCCCCTTGCGTGTCTAATACAAGAGATAAAACGTCTTCCCCTTCCAAGTAAAGGACATATACGAACATTCCGTTCGCACCGAAAGTGGCGGGAGCGGGTAGCGTTCGTCGGAGAAGTGAGACAATGGCGCAGACAAACTGCACGACAGCGAAAAGCTTGTGTCGGAGAAGCGCGAGCCGCAACCCGTGTCGATGTTGGTGTTCCGGACGCCGTTCGTGGAAGGGCTAGTCTACTAACGTCGGAAAATAGGATCGGATCAAGCACAAGGTTGTTTCTGGAGTTTGATGCTGATGAATGGAAACTGAAACTGTATGTGGAAAGAAGGGAGTAAGATCTACTTGTTCTACTTCTTTCACTGCCGTCGTCCAGGCTGCTGCTGTGAATGCTGTTGCCCAACCAGGGCTCGGGGCTCGGGACCGACGGTGAATTTGAGTTTGAAATCGACACATGTGATGGCGATGATGAAAATGAGAATGGTTGCATAGATAGCAAGGATGGCGATCGTCTCGCTGCATCAAGTGATTCCACATACGGTCGTCCGCAATGAGAGCAGGTGTGGTGGACAGGCGCATGGTTCTTGTCGACGTCGCCATCGTCATTTGCGTCGGTCGATGATGTCAAACGAACGGCCGGCAATATCCGCGAGCTCCGCGAGCCACCGCAGCCCATATTTGTATGTTGCCTAAAGCGATAACATTTGTAAATATTTTGTCGGGGTATGACAATTACTAATGGCGACTTCACAAAATTACAAGCATGAACTTGCACACGCTGTAGCCATAGCCATGAAGGAGAGCAGAATATTCTTTGCCCCTGTATCCGCATCGACAGCAAAGAAGGCCCCGGCAAGAAGGAAAAGAAAAACAGTGCCAGGGCAGCGGAGGTCAAGAAGAAAAGGCAAGCGAGAGAGCTGCTACGACTTCAGGAAGATTGGTTCCCTTGCAAAAACGGGTTCGTGTCGGAGGGGTGGTCGGTCGCAGCGGACGTCCACAAGCCAAGAGGGTGCAGTACGACCCTGGTACCGCAAAAAAACGAGTATCTTCGTCAAAATCTGCCCCGACTGTTGGACTTGACCCCACCAGGTCGACGTTTGACGACCGCGTAGAATCAGCAAATACACGTGCGCGGGGTCGAAAACAGGAGACCGACAAAAAAAAAAAGTGCAATGTGATCGACTTCATGAAGCGGGTTGCTGACCTGACGAAAAACGAGGAGAAAATATACGCAAACACGAAGAAGTTGTTGATAGCGCAAGGCATGGGATCCGGGAAGACCCTCACGTCTCTGTCGGTCGCAAAGGAGTCGTCACGAAAAACAGGGTAAAGTTTGTCAATATTCTCGCTTCAAATGTAGCGGTTGGCGAGCTCATTAACTCGTTCGAGAGGGCTGGCATCACCCCTCAGATTGCAGGAAAAATCAGGGTATTGACACACGACGGGTTTGCTCTGAACAGGAAGGCACGCAAGTTTAGCAGATCTCTTGTGATTGTGGACGAGGCCCACATGTTCACCGCCATCAAGTACGACGCTCTTGCGAAAGCCGATGTGTCGTACTTAATGTTGCTGAGTGGTACCCCTGCCCCCAATGTGCCGTCTGAAATTGTCCCTCTCATCAACCCGTGATTGCGGCCTCGAATGCCAAGACCGTGTTCATTTAGTCGCGGAATGTCCGTGGTACAAGAAGGACAGGGAAGTGTACGTGACTGAGCTGGGAAAAATAGATGGGACGTACAGGGAGATGTTTGAGGCATGGAATAGAGAGGAAAGGACGGTAGCCGTACTGGGGCATAGGAGGTGGGTTGAAAAGGCGGGATGGGATATCGTTGGGATAGACAGACTAGGGAAGACATTTTTGAGCCACCTTTGGCAAAGTAGAAAGGAACGATTGGCCATCGGTGATCGGTCCTGTGGGAACAATGCTCCGTCCTCTCGAGGACGCGTGGTCAATGGTCTAACCGCTAAG